ACTATGGTGACAATGACAAAATTAAGAAAAGTAATGAAAATAACCCCCCCCAAAATAATAAATACATCTTAGGACATGACTAGATTTCCTTTCTTATTAGGCAAATCAAAAGAAAATCTTAAATTTCAGCCATCCAGGCCTGAATGGTAACATCACAGAGATACTGAAAGGAGAAAAGAGAAATCTTATATTAAAGGGTAAAAAGGAGATGAGGGGGCAGATAATGGTAGTGAAATAGAATTATAGACATCTGAGTTTAGGGTAATAATGGATTTTCAAATAGTCTGCAAGCTGAATAGTTTTAGAAAGCTGTAAAGTACTGAAGATATTCCTAAAGAGTTGCTTTTACCAATATGAATTTATTGTACAAATGTTCAAAAGAAAAAATACAAAAAAGCTACTAACAACACTAAATTTGGCTACTTGTATTTCCTTCCAGTCTTACCTACAATAATTCTAGTATACAATGTTTCACTCTGTAAACAACCTAACAATCTTTACATGCCATTTGATTCCATTAAACATTCCCAACCCCTACTTCTCACTGATTATTGAAAAAGGCTGATAAATCTGACAAATGGAATAGGTAGTCAATTAGAAGGTACAACTATTTAAAAAAAAAAAAAAAACTACAACTATAGCAGACGTAGTTCATACCTATAATGCCAGTACTCAGAAAATTAAGGCAGGAAGACACAAGTTTAAGGCCAGCCCAGCTATATAGTGAGTTGAAGGCCAGCCTAAACTACATGGTGAGCTTCAATCTGAAAACAAAAAAGTAAAAGAAAAGCTGCAAGTATATTATCCTCAATAAGCTACCTGCTTTTTCTCAGCTTCAGTTTCCTCATGTGCATGATAGGGATAATTATACTTAAAATATAGAGAGCTTTTGGGCTGGGCATGTTCGGTGGTAATTTGCCTAGCCTGTACAATGCCCTGGGTTCAAACCCACCACCACCAAAAACAAAAGGAAATAACAACCTATGGAATTATTTTGGTTTGTTTGCTTGTTTCTTGCAATGAAGTCTTAATATGTAATCTAGGCTGGCCTTCAACTCAATATATAGCCCTTACTGATCTTGAACTTGCAATCCTCCTGTCTCAGTCTCCGGCATGATGCAATTACAGGTGTGCAGCATCATACTTGGCTACTTAGGATTTTAAAAATTAGATGACCCTCAAGCCCTTCAATGTATGTCAGGTGCTCCACCTCAAATTTGGTCTTTCTAGTTTTTTCCATGTATCCTACCCAGGACTCAAACTAGGTTGCTCAGGATTGATGATTCAAATGGTTAAAACTTAAGATGCTACATGCCTGACCAAAGTGAAAAGATGATTTTCTTTTTTAAAATCTCTACCTCTTCAGCATTTTAGTATGGGGTCTTGTGCAAAGATTACTTATTCTACCATCTGGTTAGTGGATGCTGGTGCATATGCTTGCTATGATGATACACAAAAAATGGAGACTCTCAAGCATTGAGTTTAGATGCCTGTTATACAAATCCAGTGATTAACCTAAAGGAAATGAAAAACCTGGTTCCATAGAGTTATATAGTCTTAATTATGTATTTATCCAGCCAATGAACTGCAATCACTCTCATTTGAGTTGCTTCCAGTTTTGCAAAGATGAATTTCTTATCAGTTGCTATGAGTCAGCTGGACACCTTTGCTACCACAGCTTTCTTACAGACTGCAACCGAACACAGCATTACTGTACTGCTGAAAACACAAATAAGATTTCTGCTGCTGGTTCAGGTATGAAACAGTTTGGATTTTAGCAAAAAAAAAAAAAAAAAGCATCACTTCAAGTAGATGCTGTTAAATTATCTTTGTATTCCCTCCCAACTATTATCATTGACTGCTTAATTACGGGATTCAATCTACTGTGCCTGGAATCAAATCCACTTATCTTCCAATTCATTCCCAGTGATTAGAGATAAAAATATAAAACCAAAAACTTGAAATACTTACTAATAAGGCAGTGCATGTCTTGAGAATATCGAGAGTTATCAGGAATTGTGAAGCTCCCATCACAAATTGCCACCTGACTCTCTCCGAATGGCAGAGTGAAGTAACATAATTTGTATAACAAACATCCAAGAGCCTAAAGAAAAATGAAGAAATCAGATTGCTACTTGTGGTTTATTTACCATAACACCAAGAAAATCTAATGACAGACACTAGCACCATCAACTTTTTTTTTTTTTTTTTTTTTTTTTTTTTTTGGCGGAACCAGGGATTGAACTCAAGCCCTTGTGCTTGCCAAGGAAGCACTTATTCCACTGAGCCATCTCCCCGGCCCTACCATCAACTTTTACTAGCAAACATAAATACCGTATTAAAAACTTGAATTTAGAACCCAAAATGACTATTTAGAAACTCAGTTATTTCTATTATTATTATCAAAATCTGTTCCAGTATAGAGCAAATGTTCTACCACCAGGCATGGTGGCAGTTGCCTCTAATCCCAGTACTTGGGAGACTGAGAGAGTAGGATTCCCATGAGTTCAAGGCCAGCCTGGGCTACACAGTGAGTTCAAAGCTAGTCTGAACTACATAACTAGACCCTTAAAAAGAAGAAAAAAGAACAAGTGTTTTATCTTAAGAACTAGCAAATGTAAGTGGGAAGTACCTGAATAATTTTCACAGAGTTCTGAAGTAAGTTTCTTCCTTTTTTTTTTTTTTTTTGGTGGAACTGGGGATTGAACTCAGGTCCTTGCTCTTGCCAGGGAAGCACTTATTCTACTGAGCCATCCCCCTGGCCCTCTGAGGTAAGTTTCTTTGTTATGTAACAAGAAGCAATGGTTGGTCCCCTCACATCCAGATCAGTCCCAAGGAAAAGTGGACAACAGTATGGTAAGGGTACTACCATACTATTACACTATCTGCATTAAACTTGACAATGTTTAATGGTTGATGACTACCAAAATCCTGGTGTGCATAGGTTGGTTGACACCTACCCAAATATCTGCTTTTGTAGTGATGATTTTGCCACTGTACAAGTTGACCATTTCTGGTGCTCGATAGGATAGCGTTGTGTATCTACAATCAAGAGATTCATTTTTTGTTAAACATATTAATGCCATAATTAAAAACAAGGAGCAGCAGAAATTTTTATTATGTTAATAGAATCAATTCCCTGGGAGCAATCTACAGAAGAGAGCAGGAAATATTAGTGCAGATAAAATGAGAGGCTGTCATTGGTACAATGATATCATCACGCAGGGCCCTCTATAAAATGAGAGGCTGTCATTGGTACAATGATATCATCACACAGGGCCCTCTATAAAATGAAAGGCTGGCATCAGTACAATGATATCATCACAGCTCGGCCCTCTAGCACCAGACTTAATCCAAAACATCCTGGAGCCCAGACATGAATGCATTAAATAAGCCTTAAAAGCAACTTTTCTTGGAGCTTCACACGATACAATCTCCTATAAATCCTTTTTGCCAGATACATATATTTCTGGTTTAAAAAAAAATAGTAAACATTTAAATGTGGTTTAACAGAGATGCAATGCTAGCTCAGGATACTCTGGAAAAGCAGACAGTGCACTGGGAGTGGATGGGTAGGCTCAAGTGCTTTTGATCTGTGCTCTGGAGCAAGGCTGAAACAAGTGTTCTTTTTATCTCTGGCTTGAGAAAATAGTGTAAGGACACCCTCAGAGTGGTGTTGTGGGGTCACTCAGCATGTAATCTGAGGATCCTAGCTGGGACTGATGTGGCTCACTAGTAGCAACAGTGAGTGTGACTGTGAAAAGCCCAGTGCTGTGGACATGATGGAAAATGGGTCAGGTTCTTGCTGAATGCACAAGCCTGAAGAAGTATTTTCTTGTGAAACTCAGTAATTCGGTATCTGTGCAGACCCCTTCCAAAGCCCTATTCACCACTAACTTGGGTGAGTTCCTCATGAGCAGGAAGGAAGCAACAATTTAGGACTAAGCATACAAGCACATCTGTCTGACTGATGATGGCACAGCAGTGATGACACTTGGAAATAACCACAGCCCTTTTATAGTGTGTGCACCATTTAGTTTCTTATGGACTTGTGATGTTATAAACCAAAAACCATTTGTACAGTGACCACAGGCTCACTAAGGAAGTGTAAGAAAATCCCTTCATTTTATTATGAGCAATGCCTGTGATAGCCCTTCTTATTCTTCATTTAAAACCAAACAACCCGAGCACAGCTGTAATCCCAGCACTTAGGAAGCTGAGGCAGAAGGACTGTTGTGAGTTCAAGATCAGCCTGGGCTACAACGTGAGTTCAAGGCCAGCCTGACCTGCATAGTGAGACCCTGTTGCAAAAAATAAAATGAAATGAAATAAAATAAAATAAAAACAAATCAAACAACCCAACAGTGAATAACATACTCTGAAATGAAGGATAACTGACTATTGCTATCTTTTCCCACTCTGCCTGTCCCATCCATAACCTGAAAGTGGAATTACTCATCTGACAATGCATGAAACCACAAGAAAGGAAAAAGAACTTACTTCTTAATTTCATCTTCTACTGCATTGACTCCCTCAATTTGTGGATTCTGGAATTTGTTGGTGGCACTTCCAAAGTCACATAGGACATAGTGGCCTCGGTCATGCAAGAGGATATTTTCAACCTGAAAAACATTCCCCAATCATCCATTTCAAGATATCATTTAGCAGTACCTGTGAAAATCTGGTCTCACAGTTGCATAAAAAAATGTTTTACTTCTACTTGTCTCATTAATGTGCACCAAAAAGTTACTCCCTGCCAAGTATCTCCACGGGGCTCACCCTGTGCAGAACGAAAAGAGAAGCACAGAAACAGGGTGAAATGAGGGCAGAGAAGGTAAAAATAGGGCACAGGGACTTCACGGCAGGGTAAGTTGGAGTCCTGCTTTTGTGGGCTTCCACCCCATTGCTCACATCACAAACATTCCTCACTTTAGTTTAGTTTTGTTTTTTAAAGAGAGTAAGAAATAATTTTTTAAAACTTTATAAATGATACAGAACTTCAAAAAAACAAGATAATAGGAATTCAACAATGGTTGTTATATTGTACACTGTCTTCAAAGTAGTTGCTCAGATTATCAGATATAATCATGTAAAATTGGTCAAAATAAAAATGTTAAACATTAACTATTCTTTTCAATAAATAAATAGAAATTAGTAAACAATAAACAATCATCCTAGCTATCCTGTGCATATGCAGATATTTTTCCTTTCTTTTTCCTTTTGTCCTTTCCCTCATCCCAGTTGTTTTGAGCAGTTTCTTTGCCTTTCACAATATCTATTGTTCCTTTCAGATATTGTTTACTCTTTCAGGTTCTTACACTAGGGAGACATGCGGGTCTATGCATGCAGGTCTGGTTTAGAACTCTTGCCCTTCTTCAGTTTACAATGCTCTCCACCATCATCCTGAGCTCCCTAAACAACCATTAAATTATCAAGCATCTTTCAAACTCTATTCCAAAGGTCACCTCCTTTTTTGAAGCCTTCCTTGGGCCCTCACTCAAATACCACTCCTCTCTACCTTCCTTTCCTATTTCATTCTTCTATGATGTCAACTACTTCATTTGGCCCTTTTAAGTTCATGTAACAATGCACTTACTACACTAGATTAGGATATCTAGAATTAGTATATTTTATATTTTGGTTACTTCTCAAACTGATAAAACACCTGGGGGTAAATATGGGCAGTTTGCTTTTTGAAATATTACACTACCAGGTATGACAGGGTAAGCCTGTTATTCCAGCATTCAGGAGGCTGAGGCAGGAGAAGCACTGTGAGTTTGAGGCCATCCTGGGCTACATAAGCAGGCTGAAGGAGAGCCTGAACTACACAGTGAGACCCTGTCTCAAAAATAAAATAAAATAAAA